TTAAAACACTGCAGCACAGAAGCCTCTGGCTCTGCTGGACGGTAAAAACCACCCGATGCAAGTATTGACAAAGGCAAAGTTTATTGCGAACTGTGCAGAAAAAGAGTTTGCGAGACGAACACGACGTTCAGAAGGAAACAACTTAAAGTAAAATGGCAGTTTAACTTTCATCTCTGCAGTTTTGAACAGGAACCTTTGTCGACTATTTTGAAATAAAATGTTGTTTAGTTTTTCAAGATATTTTTCCATTTCCATTAAAAGAGCTTTATTTTAATACGCTTTAATACGCTCGGCGTCACATTGACCCAAAGAAAAAATGTATTTCCTTCCTGCTCTTTTGGGGTGGGTCAATTAGACCCAAAAATGTATTTTCTCACCTGAGAATTTATTTGAAAATAAATGTTTGGGTCTGATTGGGAGAGCGGGAAGGAAAAAAAATGTCTTCGGGTCAATAAAGTGTGTGTCAATAAAAGTGTCTGTGTTTTATTTGATGAACTCATCCACTAAAATCCAAATATTGTTGTGTGATCAATTGAGATTAATTAATTACAAAGCCTTAATTAGATAAATCAAGTCCCACTTTTAGTTTGTACAGATCCAAACTACAGGATTTGCAGTTTTTATGCAGAATACGACAAGAGATTTTATCATTTGTGACAGAAATTATGGAATTTTAAATATCGCAGCCTTCGTGATTTGCTGATTGCGTCGACTCAAATTGTGATTTCGATTCATTTGTGATAAATCTGAACCAGAGACTGAACCGAGAGGCTTCTCCTTTTTCCTTTTTTTTTTTCCAGCTCTCAGTGTCGGAGCAGCTGCGGCTGACAGGCAGAGTGACCTCTCAATCCCAGAATGCAACAGGACAAAGGCGAGTGTGAAAGGGGCCGGGGGGGAAACACACTCATTAAACCACGAGTATCAGATAAGAGTCGAGGAAAACAAGAGAAAATCCTGCAAATATTTAAATGCAGTTTGCACCAGGACAGTCGGTGTGGGATCCAGACAGACACCAGTGACCTGACTCCTACACACGTCTCCTCATTATTAATCCTGTTATAACTGGAGTAAGTCCAATTCAGATTTCAGAGATTTTAGTGTAATACGTCGATTATCCCATGTATCGCCATATCGTATCGTGATCATTTCTCACCGTGAGTCGTGTGTCGATTACAGTCGTCCCTTCCTATATCGTGGTTCACCTTTCGTGGTCTCGCTGTCACGCGGATTTTTTTTCTTGGGTGCAATTTTACACAATTATGAATGAAAAGTTACGACTTCAAGAATTACAATCGCGAAATGAAATGAAAAGGTTTCGCTTTCTTCAGTACGAGCACGAACAGACGCGACGCAACTGACATCACGTCACTAAACCAGATCTAAACCAGGACTGAATCAGGACTGAACCAGGTCTAAACCAGGTTCTCTCTCTCTCTTAAGTCTAAGATTAGTCCTGGTTTAGTCCTGACCTGCCCGTGTGTGATCACTACCCGTCCGTAAAATTACAGAACGTTAAATCCCGCCTGTTTCTATGGAGTAAGAAAGCTGTCAAAAATATTCGTGAGCATAGAACAGAAATCCGTGCATATTTGGCTGTAGTTGCGCATAAAATAAATATTTGTAAACTCTCAAATGACTCCAGTCGTACATAAAATATATTGTGTGTATTTTATCCATCAGAATACGAATTGAAAAATTATGACGTCGTGAATTACAATCACGAAATGAAAATGTACGATTACGCTTTCATCAGTACGAATACGAATTCACAGACGGAACTTTACTGTCAAAAATACATCATCACTTCACAGACATTATTCATCGAGCAGAAGAAACATCGATCAAGATCAAGACTGTGCAGCTCAAGTTTGTAGCAGAGTAAAAACAGAGTAAAAGCACAAGAAGCTACAACAGAACAACAAGTGGGTTAATTAAAATCTATTGTAAAAATGTCTTGAATTCGGGAACCGAACGCTGCTGTGTGATATTGTGTAGAAACACCTCCTTTGAACGGGAAATTGCACCTATATGTTAGAAAACATAGTGGAGCCAGTTGGAAACATCAGACGTAACGTTATCCCAAGGCGATGATGACGTATTTTTGACAGTAAAGTTCCGTCTGTGAATTCGTATTCGTACTGATGAAAGCGTAATCGTAAATTTTCATTTCGTGATTGTAATTCATGACGTCGTAATTTTTCAATTCATATTCTGATGGATAAAATACACACAATATATTTTATGTACGACTGGACTCATTTGAGAGTTTACAAATATTTATTTTATGCGCAACTACAGCCAAATATGCACGGATTTCTATTTTATGTGCACGAATATTTTTGACAGCTTTCTTACTCCATATGTTTCAGCAACTATTTGCCCGCGGGTACCCGACCCGGTGCAGGACTCTGATATCTGCCTCCTTTTCACACAAAGTAAAACATTTCTAACACTTCAACAGTTCCAGCTACATTTATAAGTGATTTATTTACGTGACATACACAATATTAAATACTTGATTAACACAAACAGACCGTTCAGACTTCAGACTTTTTAGCTTTTCTTTTTTTTTTTTTTTTGCAGTGTATGCGTCCTGATTGGCTGTAGACCGTTGTCAATCAGTCTCCTCTGTGTCGTGTCTCCTGTACAGTACAGAATGTGTTCAGTTTGACAAATGTACATAAATGTTCGATCTGTATCAGTGGGATTCTGACGTGCTGTATGTTTGCGAGTTTTCTCCCCGACAAAACCCACAGTGAGAGTGTTTACATGCACATCAATAACCCGGTTATGATCGGGTTTTTTGAGTATCTCGGTTTCTTGATGGTGCATGTAGACACAGTAACGTGGTTATGGCAGTATCCCGGTTATTAGAAACCGGGTTACTGTAGCTGGTTTATTCCGATAGTAACCAGGATACTTGTGTCATGTAAACGCAGTATCCCGATTACTGCAACATAAAGTTGAGTCGCATGCATCCAAAAGACACTTTCCAGCCTTTCACCACAACAGTAGTGACATAAATAAATTGACCAACATAAATAAAATGACCAAACGAGTGAAATGAGTGTAAAATAAAGAGCTGCTCTAAACCTGCACACGTACAATCTGCACTCGTACGACCTGCACTCGTGTGACGCTGAAAAACTAGAACATGAACTATCTCCTATACTCTATATGCACGGAACAGACTCACCATCATCAGCACCTCTTCTGTCACAGAAATAACACACATAATCCACAGAGTCGTGTCATTTAGTCCAAAAGAAACTGATCGCATCAGCGGCGCAAGGAGCGAGTTGTTTTTATCACCGCTAACAGTTTATGCTAATTAGCCAAACGGTCTTAAGTTTCGTTTCTGTAAAACGTAAACAAATGTGATCAGAGCTGAATGATCTGATCAAACGGGCTGATGTGTCTATAGTGTTTATGGTTTATATGTTGTAAAGTTGAGTTTATTTATGCAGAAGATTTTAATGAAGAATCTGCACAGTGGATTGTGGGAGATCTCGTAGCTCCTTAGCTTCTTATGCTAAAGGAGCTCACGGTTTGTATTTTTCCTGGTTTATGAAATTGATTAAAGTTAATTTTTGCGCCTGCGCATTTGTAAGATTATGTCAAGAAACCGGGACACTCCATTTGATCATGTACACGTGGATATGAGTGTCCCGGTTTCTCAGTGCTCATGTAAACACAGTAACACGAACACTGACAGAACCGGGATATGGATAATAACCGGGTTATTGATGCGCATGTAAACACACTCAATGTCGACGAAACGTTCTGCACCAACAAATTCTCCTGCGCTCGCACCCAAAAGACAGAGGAAGATGTAACCATCACACAAGAAGTTGTACTTCTGGACACGCTGAATGAAGAGAGACGTTACACAGTTGTAGAAGAGTCCTGCACCGGGTCGGCTCCCCACGGGCAAAAAGTTGCTGAAACGGGCGAGTTTTAACGTTCTGGAATTTTACAGGCGGGTAGTGATTACACACAGGCGGGTCAGGACTAAACCAGAACTAAACCAGGACTAAACCAGGTCTAAATCAGGACTAATCTTGGACTTAAGAGAGAGAACCCTGAGCCCGTGGAGCAGGGTTTCCGCAATGCGCGACTGGGCCGCGTTTATCTCCGCGAGTCCTGGTTCAGTCATGGTTTAGTCCTGGTTCAGTCCTGGTTTAGTCCTAGTTCAGTCCTAGTTCAGTCCTGGTTTAGTCCTGGTTTAGTCCTGGTTTAGTCCTGGTTCAGTCCTAGTTCAGTCCTGGTTTAGTCCTGGTTCAGTCCTAATTCAGTCCTGGTTTAGTCCTGGTTCAGTCCTGGTTTAGTCCTGGTTTAGTCCTAGTTCAGTCCTAGTTCAATCCTGGTTCAGTCTTGGTTTAGTCCTGGTTCAGTCCTAGTTCAGTCCTGGTTTAGTCCTCCTCTTCAGTCCTGGAATCAGTCCTGGGTTAGTCCTGGTTTAGTCTTGGTTCAGTCCATGGTGTGGGCAGCGCAAAAGTTTGATATAATCTCGGGTTAACGGGCAGGTGCGGTCCTGTACTGCGCAGGTGCGGTCCTGTACTGCGCAGGTGCGGTCCTGTACTGCGCAGGTGCGGTCCTGTACTGCGCAGGTGCGGTCCTGTACTGCGCAGGTGCGGTCCTGTACTGCACAGGTGCGGGTCTCCAAAAACTGACCTGTGCAGGACTCTACGCTGTAGGACTCCATTACGGAATAAATGAATCTTCAGTTTGTTACATAAAGAAGGAGGAAAATAACAAAAGGACGACAACAGCAATAAGTTTTAAGAAGGATGAAAAAGTGTTGTAAGTTTCCTGTGTGAGAAAAGTGTATAAAGTTTGTGCTGAGGGGTTTTACAGACTTAAAACAGATAGAATCATTGTAAAATATAAAGTTGATACTTCGTGGATTTCATCTATCTCAGGTTATTTTTAGAACGTAACCCCCGTGATAAACGAGGGACCAGAGTGTACGGAGCAGCTGGAGGGCGCGGGGGTCTTACGTGGGCGGGGGGTTCCCTTTGGCCTCACACTCGATGATGATGTTGTCTCGGGGGTCCACGATGTAATCCTTCACCGACTGTTTTATGATGGTGGGAGGCTGCTTCACTGCGGACACGACAAACACCAAAAACACACAAAGAAAACGAAAATTAGACCAGATTCAAGTGGGACAATGGGTGAAATACAAAATAATACACACGGGTTCAATACTATAACAATATAACAAATAATTAACTACGATTTGAGCCTTGGAAACTCAAAATTGTAGTTTATTTTTGTTATAACGTCGTAGAAAAAAAACACTAAACATTGCGCCATGAGTCATACTTATTGTGGAGCTCAAATAAAAATTCCAGGCTTGAAATTAATCATCTATTCTCGATCCTTATTATGGGAGAAGCAAAATAACAGACACTTCTACCACGGGAATCCAAAACTGTTCTTCGTTTTTCGTCTGTTAGTTGTTGAAAATATATTACGTCAGCTTCTCTTTGCCTCCGTTCCAGCATTTCGAACGTTCTGACGACGCGGGATTTTAAAGAGTGCATCGGTGCAGTGTCACATGTATGTATCACGGACTGTATATGTTCCGTTTCCGTATATTCCGCGTTACAAACCGGAAATTCACATGCGGCTCTTCCGGCTCCTTCTGACTCTGGCTCCCACTGACTTACACTGGGATACTGTCTCCTCGCTCTCTGCACCTGCTGCTGCAAGCCTCCACATTTTGGTCTTGAAATGTTCATATTAAATTTTGTTTCCTCATTATTTTGTCTGTCAAAAAATATCCTATTCATAATATAGAGCTGAACGCTGTGGGTGACGTCGCACTCATTTAGTCCACTTCTTTATACTGTCTCTTGTTCGTATATATGCAATAAATTTGAAAAAAATAAAAATAAATAAATAAATAATAATCTTTGTGAAACATGGAAATGGGTTTATTTCATATTTCGGCTTTATTTAAATGACACAAAAAAAAACAAACTGCCAAACTCGTGACCCGAATCTAAAAAGAAAGAAATAACTCCCTGTCACTTAGTCAGCCCCAAAGAAAAAAAAAAAAAGTTTAAAGGTCGTTACACTCTTAACTAGGGCTGTAACGGTTCATGTGTTCATGCAGAACAGTTTCGGTACAGGATGTTTGGGTTCGGTGCCGGTCTGTGCACCAGTGAGTTCGAGCGGTTTGTGTGTGTTTTCATTCCGTCACTACATGTGCAGCTACACGGAGGCTCAAGTCTTTAATATTCACGAGGAACTTGTCCGTGATTAGGACAGTGTTTCCCACAGCGCTTTATAGTTAGAGCGGCCACTTTCACAACAACTGCCTCCGAACCACGTGAATCCTCGCAAAACTCAGTCGTCGCGCCCTGGTCCTCATTTTCACCTTTCACCTGCACGGAATCTCTGCCCAGCCCCCCCACCCGCCACACCTGGGACCTCTGTCCTTACTGCAGGAGTGTCAAACTCATTTTGGTCCAAAGCCATATCCAACCTACTTTGATCCCAAAGGGGCCGGATCAGAAAACTCATGGAATATATACCTCAAAAATAACAATAAGTTCAAATATTTGTGCAGAGAAACACAAATCTATTACAGAAATCTTTTTTAATTGATGAACTCTTTCTTTTACAAAATATTATATTATTATGAACAACCTGAAACTTTAAGAAAAATGCAATTTCAACACAATGTTTGAACATGAACTTGTATGCAAATAGGAATAAGTCAATTTTTGTTGTAAAATTCTGCACTCGGCTCCACTTTTCTCATGTTGGACATTTTTGTGATGAGGGTGTCACGGTCAACAGTCAAAACGATCGTCCTTTAAGAGCGTTTGGAAAGAGACAAGTCTTCATTTGTGCTGCTCTGGTGGGAGGGGCCACGTACAGAGACGCTGGAGACGCTGCTATGCTCAGCACCGCAGAAAATTACCAATATTATAATTAAAATATTTAAATTGAAAATCAGCCAAGGGCCAGATTAAAGGTCTTGGAGGGCCGGATCTGGCCCCCGGGCCTTATGTTTGACACCTGTGCCTTAGTGAAACAGTATTTTCAACCTCTGGGGACGTTGTACCTGCAGCAGATCTGCTCTTACTGCAGTTACAATGTGGACAAGTTGTTCTTTTCTGTCCAAAAATCTGAAGCTTGAGTAAAACTGTCAGTGCTGCTTTACTTTTTGAAAAGTTTTGTTCACTGTTTACAAGGAATTTACTTTTTATATGTGTTTTGTTGTGTGAAAATCAGGAGCCACAGGGGGAGCCAGACATAAAAAACTGTTGTTGTGTCCTTAGGCAAGACACTTCACCCACATTGTCTAGTATGAAAGTGGTGTGTGTGTTGGTGGTGGTTGATGATGGTGCAGATTGGCAGCCTCACTTCCGTCAGTCTGTCCCAGGGCAGCTGTGGCTACAGTAGTAGTTTACACCACAGAGTGTTGAGTGACTGAATAATGAACATTCAAGTGCTCTGGGATCTTGAAAGGTGCTGTATAAAAGCTATGATTAATGATTAATTATAATATTTCACAAACTTGTTGCTTATTTGAGAATATTTAATTTAATTTATTAGTTTTACCAAGCAGCACTTTGCATTTATTTTATTTTCCCGTTTGTATCACGTTAAATCAAATTGTTGGTTCAATAAACCCACAAATAAACGACAAGTAAATGGTTTTGCATTTTATTTCCAAACTGAACCGAAAATGAACCAAACCATGACCTCAAAACCGACGTACGTACTGAACTGTGATTTTTATACCGTTACATCACTACTATTAACCAGAATAATAAAAAATATCCCATTGTTTATAATGTACTTTGTCCTAAACTATATAAAAGGTAAATACACAAATTTTGAACCTGATATTTTCCATTTCTGACTAAATCCTACAATAACTCACTGTACAAGAACACAATTTTGCATTTGTGTTTTAACAATATTAATTCATCTCAGCTTCCCCCATCTGTGATAAAAAACAAAACTGGCCAATAGAATTCATTTCATTTCATTTTTTCATTTGTTTAAGTCACAGGTGTCAAACATACGGCCCGGGGGCCAGATGCGGCCCTCCAAGACCATTAATCTGGCCCTGAGCTGATTTTCTACTAAAATGTTTTAATTATATTTTCTATTAAAATCGTGTTAATTTTCTGTGGTGTTTATCACAGCAGCGTCTCCAGCGTCTCTGTACGTGGCCCCTCCCACCAGAGCAGCACAAATGAAGACTTGCCTCTTTCCAAACGCTCTTAAAGGACGATCGTTTTGACTGTTGACTGTGCAAAATGTCAAAAATGAGAAAGTGGACGCCGATTGCAGGATTTACCAAGAAAAAAGGACTTATTCCTATTTGCATACAAGTTCATGTTAAAACATTGTGTTGAAACTGCATCTTTTCTCAAGTTTCAGGTTGTTCATAATATTATAATATTTTGTAAAAGAAAGAGTTCATCAATTAAAACAAGATTTCTGTAATAGATTTGTGTTTCTCTGCACAAATATTTGAACTTATTGTTATTTTTGTTGTATAAATGCCATGAGTTTTCTGATCCGGCCCCTTTAGGATCAAAGTAGGTTGGATACGGCCCCCGGACCAAAATGAGTTTGACACCCCTGGTTTAAGTCATGAAAGATGAAATAATTATGAATGAAAAGGAGCAGACAGAAGTATAGACTTGTAAAATCTGCCTCCTTTTCACACAAACTAAAACATTTCTAACACTTCAACAGTTCCAACTACATTTATAAGCGACTTATTTACGTGACATACACAAAATTAAATACTTGATTTACAAAAACAATGGTTCATACTTCAGACTTTTTAAGCATATCATGTTTGAAATTTCTTTTAAACACTATATTTTTATTTAGCCTGTTCCATAAACTCACACCTTTGACTGAAACACATTTTTCCATTGTTGTTGTATTTTTTTTGTTTAATTATAATGAATTTTCTTTGGAGATTGGAGGGTGAGATCTGCAGATTTGCTTTGTACATATTTTTTTTTATGTAAAGTTCTACCAGTTAATTGAATTTCATTGTCTTTATTTGTATAAATATTGGTCGTGACTAGGGATGTAACAATAACCGAAATATCGTGATATCGTATCGTCAAAAGTCTAATATATCGAATTACAAGTGTCTTTGTTTAAATGCAGGTTTTATAGAAGCAACGGCTAAAACATCAGGAACTACACGATGAGGAATGTTTTTTATTTGAATTCTTGGGATTATGACGGAAATAATTCACACCAACATCTTGTCAAGTTTTTTTAAAAGCAAAAAAATGTCCCGTCTACAGTTATATTAGGCTCTTTAAAATATCGTACCGAGAGATTTGGATATCGTTACATCCCTGGTAGGAAAAGGGGTGATAAAGTGTCTCTGGACCTTTGCCCTGCTTCTGAAATCCTGTAGATTTTGGTGAATAAACTGCAGCTCCCACGTTGCCGCTCCGCTCTCCTCTCCGCAGCTCACTGACACTAATCTGACCCAGAAAAGCCCACGGTTACCACGGCAACCCTCACAGCCTATTTAGCGCGTGCTCGGCCGGAATCAAAAGACTCGACGAGACGTTTTGGCTTAATTGGCCCCGAAGACGACGTTTTTACATATGAAAACACACGAGCTTTTCTACCCGAGCGCGTCTGCGGAGCGGCACAATGACTCCGTAATCGCACAGTTAGAAGAGAACGCGAGTTACAGACGGTTAGACGTGAGTTAGAGGTGGCACTTACGCTCTTGTAAGATCTTTGCTGTTAGTCCAGGAGGCGCCGCGTTGGAGACAGGAGAGGGAGAAAAGGTTAGAAAAGGACTGGAGAAGCTTTAGTTACATCTACGGTCATTCAGGGACGGGACAAGATCACAGGAAACAAAAAATTAACACAAGATTTAGAGTTGTTCTGATACCATTTTTGCAGAATCCAATATCAATATTTGGCATTACTGTACGTTGTCGGGATCCATGTCATTGGTCCGACAGCCCATTAATTCGAAAATGGATCGTCGACTACAGATCCCATTAGTCAGACATTCAATTCGTTAGAAAAAATAGGATAATTTGTCCGACGGTCCATTAGTTAGAAAATGGACCGTCGAGTACAGATCCCATTAGTCCGACATTCCATTAGTCAGAAAAAAGAGAATCATTTGTCTGACAGTTCAATATTTAGAAAATGGACCGTCGAGTACAGATCCCATTAGTCCGACATTCCATTAGTCAGAAAAAAGAGGATCATTGGTCCGACAGCCCATTTGTTCAAAAATCGATCGTCGAGTACAGACCCCATTAGTCAGACATTCAATTCGTTAGAAAAAATAGAATAATTTGTCCGACGGTCCATTAGTTAGAAAATGGACCGTCGAGTACAGATCCCATTAGTCCGACATTCCATTAGTCAGAAAAAAGAGGATAATTTGTCCGACGGTCCATTAGTTAGAAAATGAACCGTCGAGTACAGATCCCATTAGTCCGACATTCCATTAGTCAGAAAAAAGAGGATCATTGGTCCGACAGCCCATTTGTTCAAAAATCGATCGTCGACTACAGATCCCATTAGTCAGACATTCAATTCGTTAGAAAAAATAGGATAATTTGTCCGACGGTCCATTAGTTAGAAAATGGACTGTCGAGTACAGATCCCATAAAAGAAACACAAACACCAGAACAAGAAAAGAAACACAAACACCAGAACAAGAAAAGAGCCACAAACACCAGACGAGGAAAAGAGCCACAAACACCAGAACGAGAAAAGAGCCACAAACACCAGAACAAGAAAAGAGCCACAAACACCAGAACGAGAAAAGATCCACAAACACCAGAATAACAAAAGAGGTGGCTCCCCGGCCTGGTGTGGCTCTTTTCTCGTTCTGGTGTTTGTGGCTCCCCGCCCCCCTAAACAAACGAGAATTCCACCCACACTCTGAATTTACAGTTTATCCTCAGTACTTTACAAGTTCTCCTCACATCTCTACTGTGTGTGGTGATGGTCGGACTAACGGGTTGTCTGACCAACGATCCTCTTTTTCTGACCAATGGAATGTCGGACCAATGGGATCTGTACTCGACGGTTCATTTTCGAACTAATGGGCTGTCGGACGAGTGGACAGACCCTCGTTGTCGTGGGTCCAATCTCGTGGAAAGTGTCTGGTCCCATCCCTGCTGTTACGTTTGTACTATTTGTAGTATTTGTAGTATTTGTAGTATTTGTAGTATTTGTAGTGTTATTAATAAACAGTAGAGGGTTTTTACAGAGAAAGTGACTTACCTGTGGGTGGTTTCCAAATCAAACAGGAGCAGAAAACACAAGAGAAGAACATGTTAAAGTTAAGATCAACAGAAATGCACTGGTGATGTATTATACAGTTCTACAGGATATCGAAAACATGACGATGTCGCTGTTGGTGCTGGCGACACTTTGCACTTCCTGTTGTGTGTGTTTTTATGTTTATGTGTGTTTCGTGGTTGGTTGTGGTATTAATATACCGTCGATCAGTGGAGCTCTTGCTCTTACGCTCTCACTGCACACCGCCTCACACTACGTCTCGCCACCGCCTTGTTTTCCGCCTCGCCCTCTTCCTCACCCTCCTCCGCTTCGCTTTCCGACTCACTTTCTGCCTCGCTTTCCGACTTGCCCTCCTCCTCATCCTCCGCCTCGCCCTCCACCTCGCTTTGCGACTCGCCTTGCACCACGCCCTCCGCCTCACCCTTGCCCTACCAATTCGCCCAACGGGTCGCCCTCTGCCTCACCCATCACCTCGCCCTCTGCCTCACCCATCACCTCGCCCTCTGCCTCACCCATCACCTCGCCCTCTGCCTCTCCCATCACCTCGTCCTCTGCCTCACCCATCACCTCGTCCTCTGCCTCACCCATCACCTCGTCCTCTGCCTCACACCTCGCCTCTGCCTCACCCATCACCTCGCCCTCTGCCTCACCCATCACCTCGCCCTCTGCCTCACCCATCACCTCGCCCTCTGCCTCACCCATCACCTCGCCCTCTGCCTCACCCATCACCTCGTCCTCTGCCTCACCCATCACCTCGCCCTCTGCCTCGCTTTCCGCCTCGTCCTCCATCTTGCTTTGCGATTCGCCTTCCACCTCGTCCTCCGCCTCACTTTCTGACTTGCCTTCCGTCTCACCTGCCGCCTCGCCTTGCGCCTCTCGCCCAATGCCTTGCCCTCCACCTCGCCGTCCACCTCACCCTCCGCCTCGCCCAACACCTCGCCCTCCGCCTTGCTCGCCTGCTCGCTCTCTGCCTCGACCTCTGCCTCACGCTCTCCTTGCTCTCTGCCTCGCCCGTTGCCTCGCCGTCTGCCTCGCCGTTCTTCTCGCTTCTCGCATTATTCATTTAAACACAAAATCGAAAACTGTACAAAACGAATCATTATCTGTTTTTTTCATTTTGGTTTGGAGACAAATAATGAAGAAAACTGTTGTTTTTTCATTTTCTTATTTTTGGTTTTATATTGAAAAACAAACGAACGAATGACACACGGATTCTCCAGGTCTGTTTGTGACGAGGAAACGACATTAGAAGACGTAATCAGATCAGAAACCAGCGAAACACGTCCCTTTAACACCTCGAGTCGTTTCAGATCGCCGCGTCGTGCGTCCTTTTGTGATCAGACGCTCGTCACGTGTCTTCACATTTAATACAGTCCTTCCTCCACGCCTCGCAAACTGCTAATGACACGGGGGGGTTTCCAAATAAAAGCCTGCCCCCGGACAATGCGGTGAGCGCCGGGGTCGCGGGGTCGCCGGCTATTCCCCAAATGCCGCGGTCGCTCAGTTTCGCCCCCCGGATCAATAGAGCACCGCGCCCCCCGGAGGTCACAGGTCGCGCACATGAACGCCGCGGGGGCTTTTGTCCGCGTGTCCTTGAGCGCCGGCATTTTTCATCGTGCGACGGCGTTGAGGCGTTGAGGCGTTGGCGCGAGAAACGGGCCGCTTTGTGGAGGCTCCTCCCCCGGGGACGGCGAGCGGGATCGATGGGGACTTTAACGAGACGCTCCTAACAGCTCCGTAAACTCATTCTTCATTTGGGAACAATGGCCGTGGTCCCGACATGAACTCCGGCTCGATGAAGTCCGCCGCTAATTTATGTCCAGGCAGATTCTGTTCGTACGTGTTGGCGTTTGTGTCGGTGAAACGTGTGAGTGTAACAGACGTGTTGCGTGAACGATGAGGCCTTTGTGTTAGTTTAGCCTTTTTAATCTCAAAATGGAGTGTTTTAATATTGTTTTCTCATAATCTGTGTGTCGTTCGTTCATTCGTTTTTCAAAATAAAACCAAAAATAAGAAAACGACAAAAAAAACCAAACACAACTATTTTCCAAAATCAAAAGTTTACGATTTTGTGTAATGTTTCCGTGACTTAAACAAACTTTTGCGCCACATACGGACTGAACCAGGACTGAACCAGGACTAAACCAGGACTAAACCAGGTCTAAACCAGGACTGAAACCAGGACTAAACCAGGACTGAACCAGGTCTAAACCAGGTGAACCAGGACTGAACCAGGACTAAACCAGGACTGAACCAAACCAGGACTAAACCAGGACTAAACCAGGACTAAACCAGGACTGAACCAGGACTAAACCAGGACTGAACCAGGACTAAACCAGGACTAAACCAGGACTAAACCAGGACTGAACCAGGACTAAACCAGGACTAAACCAGGTCTAAAACCAGGACCAGGACTGAACCAGGACTAAACCAGGACTGAACCAGGTCTAAACCAGGTCTAAACCAGGACTAAACCAGGACTAAACCAGGACTGAACCAGGACTAAACCAGGACTGAACCAGGACTAAACCAGGACTAAACCAGGACTAAACCAGGACTGAACCAGGACTGAACCAGGACTAAACCAGGTCTAAACCAGGACTGAACCAGGACCAGGTCTAAACCAGTCTAACCAGGTCTGAACCAGGACTGAACCAGGACTAAACCAGGACTGAACCAGGACTGAACCAGGACTAAACAGGACTAAACCAGGATTGAACCAGGACTGAACCAGGACCGAACCAGGTCTAAACCAGGTCTAAACAGGACTGAACCAGGACTGAACCAGGACTAAACCAGGTCTAAACCAGGACTGAACCAGGACTGAACCAGGACTAACCAGGACTAAACCAGGACTAAACCAGGACTGAACCAGGACTAACCAGGACTAAACCAGGACTAAACCAGGTTCTAAACCAGGACTAAACCAGGACCAAACCAGGACTAAACCAGGACTGAACCAGGACTGAACCAGGACTAAACAGTCTAAACCAGGTCTAAACCAGGACTGAACCAGGACTAAACCAGAAACCAGGACTAACCAGGACTGAACCAGGACTAAACCAGACTAAACCAGGATTGAACCAGACTGAACCAGGACCGAACCAGGTCTAAACCAGGTCTAAACAGGACTGAACCAGGACTGAACCAGGACTAAACCAGGTCTAAACCAGGACTGAAACCAGGACTGAACCAGGTCTAAACCAGGACTGAACCAGGACTAAACCAGGACTAAACCAGGACTAACCAGGACCCAGGACTAAACCAGGACTAAACCAGGACTAAACCAGGAAACCAGGACTAAACCAGGACCAGGACTAAACCAGGACTGAACCAGGACTGAACCAGGACTAAACCAGGTTAAACCAGGTCTAAACCAGGACTGAACCAGGACTAAACCAGGTCTAAACCAGGACTGAACCAGGACTGAACCAGGACTACACCAGGTCTAAACCAGGTCTAAACCAGGTCTAAACCAGACTAAACCAGGACTAACAGACTGAGTATCAGGACTGAGACTGGTTTCTGGTTTAGACCTGGTTTAGACCTGGTTCAGTTCTGGTTTAGACCTGGTTTAGACCTGGTTTAGACCTGGTTCAGTTCTGGTTTAGACCTGGTTCAGTTCTGGTTTAGACCTGGTTTAGTTCTGGTTTAGACCTGGTTTAGACCTGGTTCAGTTCTGGTTTAGACCTGGTTTAGTTCTGGTTTAGACCTGGTTCAGTTCTGGTTTAGACCTGGTTCTGGTTAGACCTGGTTTAGACCTGTTCAGTTCTGGTTTAGGTTTAGACCTGGTTCAGTTAGACCTGGTTTAGACCTGGTTCGGTTTAGACCTGGTTCAGTTCTGGTTTAGACCTGGTTCAGTTCTGGTTTAGACCTGGTTTCAGTTCTGGTTCAGTTCTGGTTTAGACCTGGTTCAGTTCTGGTTTAGACCTGGTTCAGTCCTGGTTTAGACCTGGTTTAGACCTGGTTCAGTTCTGGTTTAGACCTGGTTTAGACCTGGTTCAGTTCTGGTTTAGACCTGGTTTAGACCTGGTTCAGTTCTGGTTTAGACCTGGTTCAGTTCTGGTTTAGACCTGGTTCAGAGACCTGGTTCAGGTCTGGTTTAGACCTGGTTCAGGTCTGGTTTAGACCTGGTTTAGACCTGGTTCAGGTCTGGTTTAGACCTGGTTCAGGTCTGGTTTAGACCTGGTTCAGTCTGGTTTAGACCTGGTTCAGTTCTGGTTTAGACCTGGTTCAGGTCTGGTTTAGACCTGGTTTAGACCTGGTTCAGGTCTGGTTTAGACCTGGTTCAGGTCTGGTTTAGACCTGGTTTAGACCTGGTTCAGGTTCTGGTTTAGACCTGGTTCAGTTGGTTTAGACCTGGTTCAGGTCTGGTTTAGACCTGGTTCAGGTCTGGTTTAGACCTGGTTCAGGTCTGGTTTAGACCTGGTTCAGGTCTGGTTTTAACATGTTTTTGAGGAGGTAACAACATGAAAACAGGACTTAAACCTCACGAGTCACTTTTGTTTTAATATAAAACCTTTACAGATGTATTAAAGTTCTTTTGTGGCGGACGTGTGAGGACGACACTTACGATCCTCTGGGACTTCGATCGCCGCCGCGTCCGTCCACAGCAGCAGCGACACGACCAGAACCAGCGCCGCGGCTCCGCCCTCCTGCCCCCTCATCCTGCCCTCTGATTGGCCCGTCCGGCTCGTCCTTCCTCCTGATTGGCTGCTGGAGGACCTGCGGGACAGACGGAGGCAGACAGTGAGGACGTGTCTGGGTCCACAGCTGGGGCCCCGGTCTCTCTGGGGCCCCGCACACACACGTCCCCTCGGAGTTTGAGTTTGTTCCATATTTGCTGGCAGGTGAACAAAGGTTAACAACATAATAAGAGACTTTAAAGAGAACGTGTTTCTGTGGGGTTTTATCTCTAACACAAAACACATTTAAATCTCCATGTTTTTGTTTTTGATGTAACGATATCCAAATCTCTTGGTACGATATTTACTGTGATATTTTGGAGAGGCTGATATAATTGTAGATAGGAAACTTTTTAGCTTTTAAAATACCTTGACAAGATTTTGGTGTGAATTATTTCCGTCATAATCCCAAGAATTCCACAAAAAAACACATAACTTCATGTTGTTTGCGTTGAAATGATTGGGAATTCATGGGAAATGTAGTTTCCAATGTTTATAAGCTGCTGCTACTATAAAAACATGTATTTAAACGAAGGAACTTGTGATTCGATATATTGTGATGGTCCACGATATTATTGTGAGACTTCTGACGATACAAATCATGATATTATTATTATTATTGTTACATCCCTAGAAATAATACAGTTGTGAAACGAGTGCGTTTTTAAAGAAAATTGTTCTGCACTTGGCCCATTCACGGCAAACATGTGAGTCACGTTTTCGTCGTTTTTAAGCAGCTTTTCGGTATTTTATTAAAACAAATGACAATTGCCTCTCTTTATGTTGACAGTAGGTGTGTGACGATATTGGTGATATCACGATATCATTGTAGTAAAATTGCCACGATATCATCGCGGTCTCCATGATATCGATACTAAACTGTGTCTTTAAGCAAAAATAAGAATTGTGGCACAGAGCAAAGCAAACTACATGGACCATAATCCTTTGCACCCGCTTTGGACACACCAGAGGCTTTTAAGTCTGAGGTCTAGAAGCATTTTGGGTTTGTGACATGAGACGAGAAAAGAGAAACGGTGAGGGACAAACAGACAGTGTGCAGAGAAAAACTACAACATGAGAAGGACCTTGATAAGCCAAAAACTTTCAAGAATGTGTTCAGAAAATCAAGTCGTGAAGCATTAACAACAGCGCTGTTGTGAGGCACTAAAGAAACAACTAAATACATCTCAGAGTATAAAGCGAGTAATTTGCATTTCCCATGGTGGACGGCGTCGGGTTTAAAAGGTTAGAGGCAAAACTGGAGATGAAATATAAAATGCCATTACATTTATGTTTGTTTTTTTTATTTCCTACGAGGACGACTCAAATATACACTGAGTAATAATGAGTTTAATGCATCTTTGACACATTTGTTTACATTTTACAGAAATGAAACTTAAAGTCACATGGCTTATTTGCATAAACCTGAAAAAAAAACAGCAGGTACATTCAGCTTCTGTGGGACTAGAGGCTCCTAACAGCTGTAATGCTCAGACAATCCATCAAGCAGAGCGGCTTCGTAGTTTACCAAAGTCGTACTGAAACATTGTGTAGTTGTTACTTGAATTTTGCAGCTTCAACTTCAGTCTTCAGTGTTCAGTGATATGGAAATGACAATAAATGTTTTACCAAGTGACAGATCAAAGCATTTTATAATGTCACTCTTGTTACTGTGTAGAATATCATAATATTGCGAGCTTTCCCATGATATCGCAATAAATATCGTACCGTGAGGTTCATACTGTGACGATATCGTATTGTAAGACTTGGACATCATTGACAAGGATCAGACTGGGGATCAGACTGGTCAAAAATAGAGACACCTGGGACATTTCTTATATAAGACTGAGACAAATCAGTGGTTTTGTATAAATGTGCTGGGACAGGAGACACAGGCTCCAGGAAACAGAGACGTCCGTTCACCTTATCAGTGAGTGAAACACAACTTCACATGACAGATCTCCATTATCCCGCCAAAGGTCAGAGTCCTTTATTAAAAACAACCAAGAAAAACGGCTGCTTTATAGTTTCTAACGCGATGTGTTTGTGTGTCTGGTCCGTGCACACGCCTCCGGGCCCTCGTCCAGTCGCCTCCTCCACATCTGTCAGGCCGATGCCCCGTCTCCTGCTCTGCGTCTGTGTCTGTGTCTGCGTCCGTCCCCACGCTGCCCCCTGGCTGTGTGGTGGTCAGGCAGAAGCAGGTCACTGGAGCTAACTTTAGCCTCATCGCGCCGACCGCAGGTGCACGTTAACATCGCCTGAGTCCTGACCTCCAGAGGCATGTGGGTCACTCCGACATAACGCTGAATATTTTTGCATAATAGAGGAGCTTTAATGTGCTTGTGTACGGTCGCCTCCTCTCTGCTCAGAGTCTCTGTTCACAGGAGAGATGAGAGCGTCAAAGACTCAGAGCAGGTACAGAGGTATGGGATTTTGGTATCATCGGGCACATCGACCGATACCTGATACTCATACTTACTGTGCTGCGTAGCTTTTTGCTCTAACGCAGCAATGTGGCATTACAGGGAAAAATGTGCATATTTTACTGTGTACAAATGTGAGTAACGCGCTTCACGATGCATTTTTAACTTGGATTGAAGTGGGGGGTTTTCGTTTTTCTTCAGACAAATTCTCTAAAATCACGGCGATTTCAGCAGCGGTGAAACGACATCGTTACAGTTCTGAATCTCAGGACGAGGAGGACCAACGCAGAACTCCACGCTGCACGGGCTCTGGGTTCTCTCAGGGGCAGAACTAGAGTTCAAGTCCTAGTCCAAGATTAGTACTGGTTTAGTCCTGGTTCAGTCCTGGTTTAGACCTGATTTAGACCTGGTTTAGTCCTGGTTTAGTCCTGGTTTAGACCTGGTTCAGTCCTGGTTTAGTCCTGGTTTAGACCTGGTTTAGACCTGGTTTAGACCTGGTTCAGTCCTGGTTCAGTGTTGTTCTTTTGGTGAGAGTTAAAGTGCTGTAATAGTCGTGTAATGTTTTACACTTTAAGTGCATTTAAAATAACACATTACAGTTTTGAAGTCACACCCAGCAGTGTCCCGACTTTTAAAACGAAAGATTTCAAAATAAAGTTGCAGATATAAATGTGTTAGTAATGGACAGGGATGGAACAATAGTCAAAATATCGTGATATCGTATTGTCAAAAGTCTTACAACAATAATATCGTGGACCATCACAATATATCGAATTACAAGTCTCTTCGCTCAAATGAAGAGTTATGGTACATAGACCATGTTTCAGTGCAGACTTCAAGAAGAAACAACAGTTATTACTTTTAAATCTTAGTTCTTTGGATTATGACAGAACCAAAGTCTTGTCAAGGCATTTTATATATGACCATAAACAGAAAAAAACAAACAAAAACAAACAAATCAAAACTGGCATCTTGATAAGAAAGAAGGAAAAAAAAAAGATTGTTCAATGCTGTAGAAACCTTTTATAAAAATAAAAATAAAAAGTATGAAGCATTTATGTTTTAAAGATATAGAGCTCTGGAATGAATGAATGATGGATTCAGTTTAGTTTGTTTTAATTTATATTTCGTCTCTTATATGTACAGTGAGTCGTAAGCGAAGTTGTAAATACAAACTTTGTTGGTCTTGCACTGTTTTCTTTCTTGGAATTTTGTCATTGTTTAACAGGGTTTGGTACTTTTGCTTGTTGTGGTCTATGTTTTGTTTTTGTTTTGCTGTGCTGCAAAATGACCCAATAAGATAAAAGAAAAAAATCTGAGCTTATTCACCATTTCGTTCGCCTCCACAAAATACCACAATAAATATCGTCCCGTGAGATGCGAATCTTGAAAGTATCGTGCAGAGAGATTTGGATGTTGTTGCGTCCCTAGTAACGGGCGTTTACCGGTGATTTCTGTTTCAATCTGATACCGGATAAAATAATAAGTGTTGATATTTTTCCATAAGAAAAGTGACTTGAAATGTGGTGTGGATGTGCAGCTCAGTGTCAGAGACTCACCTTGGGTTCACTGCACAGATCCACCTTCTTCTCTTCAGCGTGGCCTCGGCTCACTGTCACAGACCTGCAAAACACAAAAACACAAAACACAGACTTTATTTTCACACTCGTCAGTTTCAGTTCCACGGCGACTTTATATTTAGATCATCTCTGATACTGGACACGGCTCGATTCAGTGAGATCCTGATCTTCTGCATCACCGACTCTACAGGCCGACACAGATCACACAGATCACACCAAAACGAACTTCAGTGAACGTTTACAGCTCCCTCCTTCACACGTCTCACAACAAGAAGGTTCCGGGTTCGATCCCAGCGTCGCCCGGGCCTTTCTGTGAGGAGTTTGCAGGATCTTTTCTCCCCGTGTTTGGGTGGGTTTCCTCCGGGGACTCGGGTTTCTCCAACATCAACCCAAAAACTCTCCAGCTGAGGAAGTCCTGACCAAGACTAACAACAAGATCATGGAGATGGGGCCACGGGCGAACGAAAACGAACTGCCCACTTCTCCTGAAAGGATGGGTCGAATGTAGAGGAAAGAACATCTAAACTGATGGTGTTGTAGTCAAGAGTGTACGGATCGAGACCAAGACACCAGGACAAGACCAAGACCTCTGAGGGTCAAGACTGAGACAAGACCGAGACTTTTAAAGGCCGAGACCAAGAGAGACAAGACCGAGACTTTTAAAGGCCGAGACACGAGACAAGACCAAGACTTTTTAAAAGACCGAGATCGAGACAAGACCGAGACTTTTAAAGGCCGAGATCGAGACAAGACCGAGACTTTTAAAGGACGAGATCGAGACAAGACCGAGACTTTTAAAGGCCGAGATCGAGACAAGACCGAGACTTTTAAAGGCCGAGATCGAGACAAGACCGAGACTTTTAAAGGCCGAGACCGAGACAAGACCAAGACTTTTAAAAGACGAAGACTTTTAAAGAGGACAAGACAAGACCGAAGACTTTTAAAGGACGAGATCGAGACAAGACCGAGACTTTTAAAGGACGAGACTTTTAAAGACTGAGACCACGACCCATCGAGGCCAAATTTATTATTTTATTAAATTTTTATGATTTATTTTTGTATTTATTTTGGGCAAGTAAAGATTTACATTCTTATACAGTGGGACATATGACATAAATAAAAACATAATAGAAATAAAAATAACCAAAACAAAAAAAATTTGCCCAAAAAGGAGTGGGAAGAAGAAAACTAAAATCGAGACCATCTTTGTAATTTTCGACATTTATTGGTATTTTACAGTTATTTTTTTGGCATATATGTATGGATTTTTAAATAAATCTATCTCCGTTTTATCATTTTATCACTCGTTCAGTGTCGGACCTCGAGACCGAGACAAGACCGAGTCCAGGACCGTAAAAAAAAAAAGGTCTCGAGGCCGACACTACAAACTGAGCTCTGTGATCGGGTAAAACAAACTGAGCTTAATCAAATAAAATAATAAACGTCACACTGGACTCTTTCAGTTTCAGAGGCTTTCCAGATCCAGATCCATTTAAACATGACGAGGACGAGGAGGATGAAGAGGATGAACCTACACCATTAACACATCACTGGGTCCCCGGGGGTCAGGGGTCGGGAGGGGCCGGGGTAATTGGCCGTGACAATGACATCATTTCCTCACCGTTGCCATGGCGGCGGGTCTGGGCTTCACTAATGGCGGTTGCGGCGAGGAGGAGGAGGAGGAGGAGGAGGAGGAACCGAGAAACCTCCATCTGTGTTTTAAGACTAAAAATGTGCGGTCTGTGGTTCGGTGTGGGTCTGTGCGACGGACGGGGAGTGTTTCTGAGGTCGCCTTTCGCAAACTAAACACTCAGCGTCAAAACAGACTCACTTTCAGAAATAAAGCCGCTCTGTTTGGCCTTATACTTGAACTCTCCATGTACCGTATTTTTGGCACTATAAGACGCAATTAAAAGCCTTTCATTTCATCCAAAGAACGACTTATATCTTCATTTATTGCGGTGTCTTCGTACGACTTTAGTAAATTACAAAGCCGCTCCACTTGCAGCGTTACGGCTCCCGTAGTCAGGAGCATCAGGAGTAAAACATAATGTGATTCCTTTTAATATCAACTGTTGGGCAAGTGACTTTAAAACTGTAATGTCTTATTTATTTATAACGTGTTTCTGTCATATCAAAGTAATTTGTCACATTACAATATTACTGTGTTTTAAACTGTAAAATATTACACGAATATTGCAGCAATTTTAAATTTACTCTCACCAAAATAACTGTGAAGATGCTGAACTTTTGTGCCGTATATGGACTGAACCAGGTCTAAACCAGGACTAACCCAGGTCTAAACCAGGACTAATCTAAGTCTAAACCAGGTCTAAACCAGGACTAAACTAAGTCTAAACCAGGTCTAAACCAGGACTAAACTAGGTCTAAACCAGGACTAAACTCTAAGTCTAAACCAGGTCTAAACCAGGTCTAAACCAGGACTAAACTAAGTCTAAACCAGGTCTAAACCAGGACTAAACTAGGTCTAAACCAGGACTAATCTAAGTCTAAACCAGGTCTAAACCAGGTCTAAACCAGGACTAAACTAAGTCTAAACCAGGTCTAAACCAGGACTAAACTAGGTCTAAACCAGGTCTAAACCAGGTCTAAAACAGGCCTAAACTAGGTCTAAACTAGGACTAAACTAGGTCTAAACCAGGTCTAAAACAGGCCTAAACTAGGTCTAAACTAGTCTAAACTAAGTCTAAACCAGGTCTAAACCAGGACTAAACTAGGTCTAAACCAGGACTAAACTAAGTCTAAAACAGGCCTAAACCAGGTCTAAACCAGGTCTAAACCAGGACTAAACCAGAACTAAACCAGAACTGACCCGTGTCTGTCATGATAAAACTCATCTTATTTTGAAACAGGTTTTACATTTAACAGTTCTGACGACATGACTTCATCCTCTTACTCTACGTCGCTGAACGTCGAGGATCAAAAACGTTACTTTGAAAAGTTAAAACTCGCCGATAAAGACATCGATCTCCCCGAACCATTTTCTCTGGAGGATGATCGCTCGACTGACAGATCGCTGACTCCGGACATGACGTCATCACGTTTTCTCGTACACACTAAAACGTTCGTGAGATTAGACCAAATCCGCAAGTTTAGGCCACTTTAAATATTTGTTGTTATTGTCAATGAAAGTATATTTTACTTTACACTCATATTTAGTTTGCGGGACTGCGGTTAATCATCCCACCCCGTCCATTACCGCATTGTTCAGTCCCGGAATGAGCTTTCAAAACGTGTCCCGCGCCGCACCGTTTTGCGTCGAGTCTCGCGGGAGTTATGCTTTTCATACTTGTGTAGACTAAAGTAAAATGGAATCCTTTATTTTATGATCGGCCTGCAGGTTCGTGGGTAAAGATCTGCCTCCTCGCTCTTTTCACTCCGTCTTTTCTCGTGTTTTTGGCGTTCGCTCGGCCCCCAGCGTCTGATTTAAGCTGCTCTGATTATTACCACGACCAATTAGCCGCTCTCTGTCGCCGCTGCCCCCACAAAAGACACTCCAAAGAGAAGAAATATGATCCGGCCCCTGTGCAAATGTTAAGAGCTCCACAGACCTGCTGCGTAACCGTGGAGAGCTCCGTAGACCTGGTGCGTGAGACGGGGGGACGGGGGGGGTGATGGTTTCAGTGAAGATCCTCGTCGAACGGGGCGTGAGGCTGAGGAGGAGGAGGAGGAGGAGGCACCGTGAAACCAGTGACCTACTTCCATCGCACACGAGTCGACACGAGGGCAGAGATGAAGACGGAGACGGAGACGGAGGGGGAGGACTCAGACCAGGCCCCGGGAAACACACCGACGCCAAAACCGAAGCAAATATTTCACTAAATCAACCGAGTCTGGAGTCATTTTACACAAGAACAGATCGAAACCCAAATATTCACTCACGTTGTTGACCGCATGATGTTATTTTACTGAAGAAAAGACGAGTTTGTGGACGTTTCATAAACGTGTGGAGAAATTCTTTGGTGTCTGTCGAGCTACATAAACCTGATCCTCTGATTCTGGATCATCAGAGGAGCAACAGACTCGATGATCCTGATGATTTATATCCACGGAGACAGAAAGGACGAGCATCTGAATAAACCTTTTGAGTTTTGAGTCTGAGATTTTATATTTTATTACTTATCTTTCTGTTCTATTTATTTTGACTCGTACATTTACATTTATATCATTATGTCTTATTTCACATCTGTCTGCTTATTTAGAATTTATTATCACAATTTATATTTTTGCTCTCTGTTATTACATTATATTGTGACGTGTGAGCTCCTGTGTCCAAATCATTTCCCTTGTGGATCTATAAAGTTTGTCCAAGGTCACGTTTTCACTGAAACGAATCACCGTACGGGAAACGTTTTGCGTCCAGGCACGTCGTTTCGGTTTCCGCGATCACAGCCTTCCCTCTCCATACGGTAACACGAACCCACCAGAAACGCTCGTCACATGACCAGGCTGGAGTCACGTCGTCACAACGTCACGAAGGCGGTAAAAACACAAAAGTGCGTCAACTTCGTGTCTGAAGTTGCAGCGGCCGATTTCGAGCCGAGGAAGATGGCAAGCGTGAAAACAGTCTTTTCGTGGACCGACGACAAGGTTTATTTATTTATTTATTTATTTGAGACAGGGACAGCGCACAATTTTTACATTAAAGGTTGTATGGAGGATTTTTTTTGTTTCAAATTGTCAGTGATAGATTATAGATGCAGTCGCCTTGTAATTATGATGACCAAAAAAAGAGAATAAAAATTCATCAACTCTGGACGTGGTGGGGCTAAACATTTGCCAATAGATAACGACACTGCCTCGTTATCTGTGAGCTGACAGGCTGTCAATCAAACTCCCTACGTTTCTAGTGTAACTGACTTGCCTGCGCCGCCGTTACGTGGTTTACGTACGACTGTCACGCAGTCCACAGACGCAAGACGCACAGACGCTGTTTACTCCACCAACGCAACAGTTCTTAGCGGCTTTTTTTGACCTATATCTTCCTCGCAGTTCGCACAAAGTTTGTTGCGATGGCGACAAGAATCCAG